TCTTGTCACTAGAGTCTGTTGACGGGTTTGATGTAGTGCACAGGCACTGCAATGGAGCTCAATGTGGAACCTTCAGAGACCTAGTTAGCTTTAATAGAACGATTAATATATTTGTAGAGACATGTTGGATTACTTCAGAGAGAAAGTTAAGAAAACCAAGCCAAGAATGCTCAGCAGCCACACCATGTTGGGGCTGGTCGTGAGACTGATGCTACCGTTGAGGCTCTGACGACTGCACAACTACGTCAGACTTAGGATTCTCGGATTTGCTTTTTCAAGATATCTGGACTCTAATATGTTTAAGGTCGATTACTTGTATATTTAGGTCGTAATAGGAAGGAAAGACCTGTGCTTAGCGCATAGATATGAAGTTTGCACCCAGTTAGGCTCACCTATGATACACACGCAGTAACAGCTGAGCCCGCTGTTCACTACAGCTTATATGGGAGGCGAAGGCCCTTCCCTACATCGCTTCAAACACCTAGACAATAATGACGGCAATTCGGCCAGTGTTTGTCTGTGTTATTCATGAAGATAGTTCAACACATCATCGGGGGAAACCCTCCTTCCCCCCCATTGGTTTTGCCTCTTATTTTCCGTTGGGTGCTGCACACAAGGGACACAAGGGACACACGAGGGTTGTCTAGGCTTATATTGTTGGTACTGTCCTACCCTCCATTTCGAATGTATGAGGGGGCGTTGTTTCCCCTCTAGTATTTGTCACTTCACCCAGTTTTACACTCTGCGCAGAGTGGGCACAATAGATCCGCAGGCGGGAATACTTCCCGCTGCATCTCCTGCAGGCGTAGCAATGCAACATGGTGTGAGTGAAGCTGGTAGGTATATTTCTAGTTGCATGCAGGTTGGCTAGTGGAAGCCAGGTAGGCGTTTAACGACTGCTTACAGTGCTATAGCAAGCTTTAAAAGGCGGTTGCGGTACACGCGCGTGTGGTGTTGCCTTACTGCAACAGTTGCAGCTAGGTGCGCTGCAGCTGATGACCTGCCAGATCCTCACCAGCCCCAGTCCCGTGCGATGCTGTGCCCAGGATACTTGGGGACTGAAGCGGAGGTTAGCGGCTCTTTAGGAACTCTTAAGTCTTTGAACTCTGTCGAGCTCATGACGGTCCTCTGTCAATATCTGTGACTCGCGTAGCACTTCGTGATACCGCATGATTGAGAAAGCCGGGGAAGTCCGGCAAATGCTACCCCAGCAGCTGGGCTGCCTGTTCCACGGCTGTGATTACTGGTGACGTCTCTTTGCCTGGAGAGGACCTTCGAAGGTATTCTCCCTAAAGTCTCTGACCAAGACACAGAATTTACTCCACTTGAGTAATGGATGTTGTTCAGAATCTTCCCCTCCGTTAGGGAGGCGAAAAATGGCTGGGCCCCCCGTGGCATTGCGCATTGTTCACATCCCATCAAACCGAAAATTGCTTTGCCGCGAAAATAATTTGAAAAGTACGCCTATGTCTTTGACGATAGCCCAACTATGATGGGAGCAGAGATGCACGAGCAATGGGCGAACGGGCTGCTTCTCTAGGGGTGTTGATCTTGTCTTCAAACTGCATCATGAGAGCTGCAATCGCTATTCACCTACTCTTCATTAGGAGGCGCTACAATTGCGGCTATATTTAGGCAAGTGCACCACTTTCTCGGAGCATATGCGGACTAGGGAAACTTTCTCCAAATGCAGTGCAGTGCAGCTTTAGCCCAGTGTTGACAGGGGAACAGGGTATATCAGGACTATGAAAACCTACACAGGGGGACATATCGGTACACCGCTGCATCGAAAACTATTACCCCTTGGTGAACAGAACTCTAACGGTGGGTTCGGAGCCTTGATAGCACATCTCAGGGCTGTGGCCTGCAGAGCGTCTCTGTAGGTGTATGGGCCTTGTAGAGATAACAAACGGGTGAAAGGGTGGAACTCGCTGACATGCTAGAGTTCCTAAGCATCAACGCAGGAGAAAACAACACTTCCATCGCCTACGCTCATTAGGTGGCGTCCCAGATATAAGCCTATGGACAGTGGAGCTGAAAGTGCCAGCCCAGTTAAAAGGTATAGGCAGCGAGACAGGTTGGCAGCAGGCGAACCCGGCACTGAAAAACCACGGGAACCCGCCCCACAGCACATATGCTTCTTCTACAACGAAAACTGTCACACAAATTGAGGTTTGAGGCTCATAAAAAGAGCGAAGGGAATGCAGAAGTAAACGTTTGAGCAGCGCCCCCACGGGAACCAAGAAGGCGATCACCGAAACGCGTTGCCTCCAAAGCAGCGTGCGGCGCTGTGTTCGGGACAAATGCGGTGACTGCTGCCATTTGGAAGTCCTCCTCGAGTCCGTTGTCTGCTTAACGAATTTCGTAATGATGGCAAGGAGTTCCTGGAGCTACATGGCGCAGGCTGCCAGGCGGATATGATATGTAGCGCTAGGACGGGAAGCTGCAGCTTATCTGTCTTCCTTGGCGCAGAATCTGCCACTACGCTTCGCTAGTTGCAGACAAGAGACGAGGGGTACTAAAACTATGAGGTTCGGGACCAACTCAGGAATGGCTCACATTGCCATTTAAGAGACTATTACGGTGAATCATTTCACCACGACATAATCACAGGCATGACGCACTTTGCAGTTTCCAACACACCCCGATGGCAGGTAAAAGAACGCGTTCCGCACACGTACTCGCAAACTGAGACAGGTGTGTATGCCATCGGGGTTTCTGNCAGGTAAAAGAACGCGTTCCGCACACGTACTCGCAAACTGAGACAGGTGTGTATGCCATCGGGGTTTCTGAATGCGCCTTTCGAAGTGCAGAGACAGATTCGTCACGACATTTTGGGCCCAGCCACAGAGGGCTGAACGCGCATACACACAGAAAACGCACGTCTGTTGAGCCGATGTCTGCAGGAGCGCCTGCAGCACCCACGGCGTTGTCTGCAACTACTACGCCAGATACAGTGGTTTGCGAAATCGCGAACGCATTCGCCCTTTTCCGGATACAACTAGGTCCTTCGGAGCTTCCGTCTCTGTAGCGGGGGCCCAACCGATTCCAGCGAAGATAAGGCCAATTCAAGTGCAGCCACTAGCCCTACACTCACACGGATGTTCCGATGCTTGTCCCTCATGCAGTGTACGGATCTCCTCACGTTGGGCAGACCACTTATTGGAGGGGGGACTGAATATGTTGGCAAAAGCCTCATCAGGCGCCTGTCTTCGTCTTGAGCACTTGCGCTGCTTGACTTCGACNTGAATATGTTGGCAAAAGCCTCATCAGGCGCCTGTCTTCGTCTTGAGCACTTGCGCTGCTTGACTTCGACAAGACCTGCTTGCTTATAGTCGATGGCAGTGGCACAGCTGTTGGGATGCTGCTCTCCTCCTATGCAATCCCAGCAATCTTATGGATCGAAAATAAACGGAATAATTACCTGGTGCTTACACTTTTCCACGGAAAAGAGGTGAAACATCCTGCACTTGAAGAAATGTGATCTTCATGATATGGTGGGGAGTAAAGAAGTGTCCATATCGATTCTACGAAGGGCCCTTTACTCTTCAAAACATCCATCTGTACTTACTAAAACCGGCAATGAGTTTCCGCGACTTTGAGAACGAAAGAGCTGTTTGGAAAATAGTTGGAGCGGAAGAGCGCATGAGTACAAAAGACATGGGTCCCCTCATACAGGGGACATCTAACAGCCGGCCTAGACAAGGTTGTAGAATGCCCACATCTAAATTGCACTCTGCGAGGACTGAACCGCAAAGGCCTCTTCCTGCGCAACTTCGCCATCTTCTCGCCCTCCTAGGAGGACCTTCGTGAGATGCAGTAGAATCAAACTACAAGAACTAANGAACCGTGCTTCATCAGGGACGGGTTTCGTAAGCCCTGCAGTTTATCTACAAACGAGTGTGCATGCTAACTACAAGTTCCTTCAACTACTAAGTGAAGCTAGGTGCGCCTTTAATTCAAGGTACACCTAACTCCATAAACTGAAGAAGTTTTTGGGTGTCGGTTGGTTGGCCAAACGTTGAAGGCATTTGGATGATGGGGAGCCAACGAACTTGCAAGCATGGTCTGACCGTGACAATGCTTTCGGTGTGACTGTGCGCAACAAAAAAAATGGATTGACAACAGATAGCCAGAGTACGATCCCTTAATTATTCACTAGGTAGCAGCCACTATGCACAGCGGACTGCCCCAGTCACCTTTCCTATTGTCCAAAATGTGAGGTGACAAAACCGATTGCGGAGGTGCTGGCGGGCACAAACGCCAAAATAATGGCGCTAACAACAGGTGATTCAATCTGCCCCGGAAATAGCGTGCACCCTATGCTCAGAATCTGAAAACTCCACATATAACTACATTTAAA